GGACTATGTGAGGTATGGCTGAGGGGCCATGAGTGATGTGCAGTGACACAGGAGGACTATGTGAGGTATGGCTGAGGGGCTATGAGTGATGTGCAGTGATACAGGTGGACTATGTGAGGTATGGCTGAGGACTGACCTGGCCTGATGGTAACTTGTTGTCGTGGTGACCACGCATGCCCATTGCAGGTTGCTGTCCAAGATGGCTGGCATGAAGGAGCAGCAGTTTCCTGAGGAAAAGCCCCTGCTCCTCGAGCAGAGAGGAGGCCCTGATGCAGAGATGGTGAGTTTGTGTGTGTGGATTAGGTGTATATTACATTGCAGGGACTGTGTCATAAAAACCTGATCAAAAAAGCAAAAATGTCAAAAGTCCCATATTTTGTTTGGTTACTTATGGTTAAGGTCAGGGCTGGGTGGGATTTAAGGGCGTCATGTTGGGATTAGAGTTTCCCCCATAGAAATGAATGGAGAGTCCCCACAAAAATATATTTACAAACCTGTGGGTGTGTGTGTGTGGGAGCGGCCATGTCCCTGCTCACTGGCATTAAAAGCTCAAAGCATATTCATGTAAACTAATGAAATGTATGTCACAAATTAGAAACAATTAGAGCAGTCTGTCATTTACAGTGTGGTGTGCACGTAATGGAAACATTAAAGCGGTATTTCTTTTACTCATTTACTGGCCATTAGAGCCTCACTGAGCTGCACCCGTGAAGCACCATGTGATCCAGAGGCAGGGTGAGAGTGGAGAGCAATGTGGGCCCTGCATGTGGCTGAGCTGCAGATGTCCCCAGGGCCGTCACTGGCCCGAGTATGTGGCTTTATTTCTGGCCACTGTGATGGAGCGCTCTCTCGCCCTGCCTCTCCCTCTCCTGCTTCACTCTTCTCAGCTTTCGTCCTCCTTCTGTCCTGCTTCATCCTGTGCTCCAGCCAGTCTGACCTTCCTCTCTAACCTTCCTCTCTCCCCTCACCTCCCTTCACCGTTGACACGCCTCTCGTTTATGCTTGTTTGCTTTGCTCCTCTGATCCTCACTTCATGTCTTTTCTTTCTCTGTCTCCTCTGTTCCTGTCTTCGTGTATCTTCTTCTTTTTCTCTCTCTGTCCCCTCTGCTCCTCTCATATCTCTTCTCCTTTTTCTTTTGGTCTCCTCCTTCATGTCTCTCCTCCTTTTTCTATCTCTGTCCCTTCGCTCCTCTCTTCATGTCTCTTCTCTTTTTCTCTCCTCTTTTCTTGTCTCCTCTTGTTTTTCTGTCCCTGTCCCTCTTTCCTCTCTGCTCTTTCTTTCTCTTTTCTCTCTGTCTACTTTGGTTCTTTTTGCATGCCTCTCCTTCTTATTCTCTCTTTGTCCCCTCTGCTCCTCTCTCCATGTGTCTCCTCCTCTTCTCTCTGTCTTATCTGCTCCCCTCTTCATTTCTATTATCCTCTTTCGCTCTCTGTCTCCTGTTTCTCGTTTCATGTCTCTCTTCCTCTTTTCTCTGTCCCCTCTGCTCCTCTCCTCATGTCTCTTCTCCTCTTTTCTCTCTCTCCCCTGTTCCTCTCTTCCTGTCTCTTCTCCTTATTCTCTCTTTGTCCCCTCTGCTCCTCTCTTCATGTGTCTCCTCTTCTTGTCTCTCCCTGTCTCATCTGCTCTCCTCTTAATTTCTATTCTCCTTTTTTGCCCTCTGTCTCCTCAGCTCCTCTATTTATAGCTCTTCTCCTCTTTTCTGCCCTGTTTCCTCTGCTCCTCACTTCATGTTTCTTCTCCTTTTTCTCTCNCCTTTTTCTCTCTCTGTCTCCTCAGCTCCTCTATTTATAGCTCTTCTCCTCTTTTCTGCCCTGTTTCCTCTGCTCCTCACTTCATGTTTCTTCTCCTTTTTCTCTCTCTGTCCCCTCTGCTCCTCGCTTCATGTTTCTCCTCCTTTTTCTCTCTCTGTCTCCTCTGTTCCTCTCTTCATGGCTCTTCTCTTTTTTCTCTGTCTCCTCTGTTCCTTTCTTCATGTCTCTCCTTTTTTTTTTCTATCTCAGTCCCATCTTCTCCTCTCTTTATGTCTCTTCTCTTTTCTGTCTCCTCTGTTCTTTTCTTTTCATATCTCCTCCGCTCCTCTTGCATTGTCTCCTTTGATCTGTGGCTCTTTTCTTTTTATGTCTTCTCTTTTATCTCTCCTCTGATTTTTCTATGTGTTCCAAACTCTTTACTCTTCAAACAAGTGTCCCTCTATCTTCATACTTTAATATGTACTTCACTGCCCTTACAAACATCAGCGTACAGAACCTATGTAATATTGTTAGATCTTCTCCTTGGTATCACTGATTATGGAAATATGGGTGAATGTTGGCTAGTGTCCACAAGCCCTGTGTCTCCCCAGCCTTTGTCCTAGCTGACCCATGCTGGTGCCCTGAGCCTTTTAACTGCCTTCTGTGTCTGTGTCTGAAGCCTCCGGAGAGCACCGATGGGGCACAGAATGCAAGCACATCACCCACCACGGCCCCCCCACCCGCAGCTGCTGCCCCTTCCCCGGGCCGCTCCCATCGGTGGCACATGATTGCACGCCACTGGCTCCGCATGACTCGCCGTCGGACCAGCGGGTCCATCCCGGTAAAAACCCAATAGGCCACACCTCAAACCACACCCTAGGCGTGACATTACTGGCTACACCCTAAGGGTGTCAGATTAAATTCCAGACACTGCCACAGTTTATACTGTCTCAGACCATGCCCAGAACCATGGGGGCCCATGCACTGAGGACCACTGTCCTCAAGTCTCAACTTGCAGACCAAACTGCCGAACAGGAAATTGTGGGAAAAGCCTGGTAATGAACTGCAGTTAGGGTCAGACACCGGTGAGTGAAGTTTGGCAGCAGATCATGTTCCTGCAAACTTAAATACGCCCAATTTGGCAAAGAAAGAAGTCTCAGGGTTCTTTTATAGGCTGAATGTACTCAAAGTTTATGACAGACATGATCATTTAGCTTCAACAGGTTTGAACAGTAAGAGCTAATGAAAACGTATCAGTCCAGATTCACTGGTAGGGTTTCTCATTTAAATCCAGACAGATATGAAGGTCTTCCAATGTGCTGTGCCAGACAGGTCCGGCTCCCGCTGCTAAATGCTCATTTCCCTCTGTTTGCTCAGGCTCTGCGTCAGCTGCAGTGTGTTCTGGGATATGCAAGCCCTATAAGTAGACAATATTCCTGTTATGTAATGTGTTCTGTGAAACTGGGGCCTGTTTTCTTCAGATCCACCCACCCAGCAACATTTGGTGGAAAGATTTAGATATTTAGGGCGTCACAGAGGTGTAACTGGAAAATGTCTGTAATGAACAGCGTGCATCCTACAGACATGTTGTGTTTGTTGGTGACTGCAAAATGTGAATGGTTTTCAGGTGCATCACGGTTACTGCTGATGATGGCTGGAGAGCTCTGCAGATTTTAAAACAAGCTCCGTACTCCTTCTGCAGATAAAATTCTCTGGATGCTTTATGTGTTAATGCTGTTCTTTCTGTGCCGAACCATGTTCCGGCTGTCTTTCTCTGTTCTGTCTGGCACAGCATTACACACCGGTGTCATGCTGTGCATTCAGTCATGCTAAGGTTTGCTTGCCACTTTACTTAAGCATCTTGTATTTACAGAAATCGGCTGCTGCAGTCAAATAATAATGACAACAATCAGTATTACTATCGTATTAATAAGAATAATTTTGCACAGAAAATGACGTGCAAATGTGTTTAAAAATGTTTAATTATAGCGGATATAATTTCTTAAAATTGCGTTGGACCTTTACTGGTTTCCAGCACTGCAGTGTTCTAGGGTAACAGAATTTCAGACACCATGTTGACAACTGACAGCTATTCTTTGTAATGCATTTAGTTTATTTGCTTATGATTGAATGTGTGAATGAGCACAGAAGGCGGCAGCTAACTGCTTCTTCAATGACGGCCCTTTGATGTCCGCTTACAGGATGGGGAGGTCATTCCTATTAAACGGCACTGACATTAAGGTGATCTGGCCTAGCCAAACACGCTGAGCTGGTGCAGACATGTAGCTAAACCTAAGGTCTCCAGGCAGGAGAACATGAGTGACTTTGATCGCATCTGTACGTATCAGCGGACATAATCCCGAGATCACGACAAGATTAAGCGAAATATTCATGACCGGTATTGTTCGTGCAACCGGCACCTAGACATCAGATTATTTATTATATAATGATGCCTCTTACTGCCACTGCAGGTCTGAATAATATAATCATAGCTACTTATTCAGATCTGAATCATATTTAAAAAAAACGCCATTCACTTCAGATAAATTCTTACACATTCAGTAATTCATTCACAAAGGTGACAGCTGTTAGATCACCACCAGTAATCCGTACTGAAAAGTTAAAGCTGTGGCATATGTAAGGAAATGGACATAAACCACAAGACGCACATGCTGATAGTTGGCTAATAAAACTCAAGTACCTCTGTGATGTATTATGTCATCTGCTCATATGCTATGTGGGGCTAATGGGCTGAAATACAAATGCTACATTGCTACTGTGCTAAGCTAAGATAGCCAGCAGCTTACCCAGCACCCTGTCCTAACTGATGAGCTAATGCTAAAATACTGCTAGGAGGTATCTGCTGTCAAAGGGGTGGAAGTGGAGCGTCTTCTGACTGCATTATACTGCTGGATGCTTTGTGAGGATGATGCTGCCATCAGCTGCCTATACCTGTCACATGTATGGGGATGTGCTCCTATTGGCTAGCCCATATCTATATGATGTGAGGGGTCATTTCTTGGACCTTTAGGTGAAAAACGGCACCCCCTTTCTTTGGTTTGGTAATGATCTCTCAACTGCAATGCCTGCTGGGTATTGCTTTGGGATGGGAGGTCTGGGGTAAAGAGTGACACCTGCTGGTGCGATTGTGGCCCTCCCCCCTTTCCTTTCACTTTAGTAGCCTTTTGCTGCCCCCCCCCCCCACGCATGCTATTTATGCATGTATAACTGATGTCTCCACTTGGATGAAAACGAGTCTCATGCACTGATGCCCTCTAACACGGTGTTTCTCACTCCGCGTCTGCATGGATTAACCTGCTTCTGCACGCATCTCTTCCCATGACCCTCTCCACCACTCCTCAGCTTGTTCTTCATTCTCCTAACACTTCGCTGCTTTATGTTGTGCTGACCAGCCCTTTAACCTCACCGCTCCCTTCAGCACTCACCCATGTGCCTGCGTTTTCACATCCATGCACATCCATGCACATCCATGCACATCTATGCACATCTATGCACATCCATGCACATCCATGCTCTTATGAACACGTCCAACTGCTTCCCATCCTCACTGCTCCGGGCCTCCCCCCCATCCCTATCATTACCCAGCTGGACCAGAGCGGCAGCGTCTTAATTACCACCCAGAGGACTCCTGGGCAGCCTCTCTGTCTGCACCCATTCCTGTGAGTAACCATTTTTGTGTCTGTGCTCTCCACAGGAGAACTGTGAAACCTTCACCTGCACAGGAGACTGGAAGGTACTGGAGTCTCTTTCCTTCTGCTTCTGTTTATCTTGCAGCTTGTGTAAGATGATGATGGTGATGCATGGTGTGCTTTTGACAGCAGACTTATACATTGGTGGAATGTGCCCTCTGGTGGTGAATTTAAGCTACTGCAGCTTTGTTGTTGACTTGTCCTTCTCGCTGATCATGGAGAATATATCAGCTAGGACTGGAGGTGTGTTTGAGAAAGCAGTGACCCAGAAGGAATGTTGGATCTATAGCTAATTATATTGCCAAAAGAACGTGAAAAGAATTTGTGACTTTAACCAACATACCTTAAAATGTAGCCTCTATGTGTTCTGCATTGTTTGTAAAGGCCATCGTCCTTGTTAATAAAAATGGCTTCGCCCTTTTTGCCGAATGAAAGATACACACACACACACACACACACACATACACACACACACACCTATTAGAAAACAGACATGACATTGACACTCACAGATACGGTGCTGAAAATGGTGGATGACATGCTGTAAGGTACCCTGGTGTATGCTTAATGTGGGCTGGCATGCCATTGGCTGGTTAAGGACACACCCACATTCAGGTGATTTTTACTGCCTTTCTACTCCCAGCATCAGTGTAACCTGTCCTCTCTCTGTAGGCTTTTCCAGCGTATTTTTGTTTGGCTTGATCTGCATTTGGTTTTCATGTTCCATTGATGCTGAATAAGGTTTTCCTTGTTTAAAGCTTTTCCTTGTTTAAAACTAATTTGCCTTTTTCTTTAAGGACTTCATGATTATTTGTTGCTATATTTCCGGCCCTAAATTTGGATGGGTTGTGAATACACTTTCACATAGTTTCTTTGTTCATTTGTAAATAAAAATGAAAGCTTGAAGATGTATTACAGTTATTTATTAAACTCAACTTGTATGGTCATCTGTGAAAAGTCATTGGGTAAAGATTAGTGCTTGTTTTTCTCTCTAAATGACATCCTTATTAAGATTTTGTAAATAAAGGTCACTTTCAATGTTAAAGTACGGTGTCTTTAGCATGATGATCATAGTGTCTCTGCTGTTCGTCCCTCCTCACATTGACCTACTCCGTCTGCTCTTGATTCATTGGGGGAACAGCCTTTCCCACACCTGCAACAGGGCTGCTGCAGCCTATCAGTGTGTTTTATTGATGGAAGGCTTTCCTGGTGTCTGTTGTAGGGATTTAAATTAATTGTGAAAAGAGCAGAAACACAGATGGCCTCCAAATGTCTCAGTTACTGTTCTAATTCATTTGGCATAGAGGTTGAGAAGGATGCTGGTCTTATGCTGCAGCAGGGAATCTGGCTTTGGCTTTTTGTTTCTGGTGTAGCTTAGTGCAGTTTTCACGAGAGATGATGTGCAGAGCACATTCATTGCCTAATGTGGGAATGTGCAGGGTCACAGTACACTGGAGATAATGGCCACCTGTACTGCTGTGTTATATCCGCTGTCAATGACACAAATACTGACAGGGCCTGAAAGATGTCCTCTCGTGTTAAATAGATTAATCAGAGAATTGCGGGAGTGTCTAAGCAAGGTATTGGAGATACTGTGTTTGGAGGTGGGGCTTAATGGAAGATTGACAGGAATGGTGGAGCTCTGTAAGAAAAGAGGTCATAGCACACGTTGTGATGTCAGGATGTGAAAATAACAGCACTGAGGGAACTACTGGCATCTTCTGTTTTTATACATCTGTGGAGATCCATAAATAATCTTACTCTTCCACTAAAATGGGGAGGATTTACTGAGACGTGTGTTTAATGGAGACTGGAAGTCATGAATAAGCAGAGAGACGGTTAACCTGGCTTTTACTGCAGAAAGGGGGTGGGCAGGTGGACAGACTTGTCACTGAGTCAGCTGAGATGAGCTAATGTTTGTTAGATTGAAAAGGTGGATAGAGATGAAATCACACAGAATGACGGGAGGTAAGAGAGATGGGGAGGGGAGGGATATGGGGAGGTGAGAGAGATGGGGAGGGGAGGGATATGGGGAGGTGAGCGAGATAGGGAGGGGAGGGATATGGGGAGGTGAGCGAGATGGGGAGGTGAGAGAGATGGGGAGGGATTTGGGAGACGATGTGCTCCAGGGAGTCGGATATATTAGATGATGAAGGACACAGGTCTTCTACTACAGCTGCACAAAAATGCATTTGGCTACAGTAAAAATGGTTCATCTGTGCAGACACTAGACTGCAGTAAACCTGCTTCAGCTATACAAACAGCCTGGAGGACAAATGTCTTAGCTGCACAGACACCAGTTTGCAGAAGAAATACTTCTGCTTTGCAGATGGCAGATTGCAGTTAAAGACCTGCAGTAGGAATGCTTCAACTGAACTCCTGTACAATCAAGCACTGGTTATAAGTCTGAATCCACCCTCCCCACCCAGCTGGGCTGCAAGTACAAAGAAAGGCACTCAGTTTGCGATGCAGATGCAGGCTTTGTTAATGGTGCACGTATGGGTTTGCATGTGCTGATGTATGTGGGAGACCCAGGTCTGTCTGTGCCTGATCTAGTGAAACGCAGGGCACGTGAGAATGAGAGACCACTGGGTGTGAAAGCGGGGCAGAAAGGCTTCTGCAGATGATTAGTTGAGCAGAGATGAGGATAAAAAACAGCTCCGGAATATGCTGTTTGATGGCCTGCTGGCCAATCGGATGCGAGGAGTTAGCTTGGGTGGCCAATGAGAGAGCAGCGTGCTCCTTCCTGTGGGTTTATAAGGTGCGGGGGCAGGGAGCTGAAATGCTGAACCAAACAAAGAGACACATCAGTGTGCACTGCCTTTCCGGACGCCCTGCCTTCTTGCACTGTCCTCCCCTTCGCCGTGTCCTTCCTCACCCTGAGCAGCCATGCCTGAGTGCTGGGATGGGGTGAGTTATAGCATATCACGGTTTACTGTGTGTGTGCAGTGACTTTATGTACGACAGTTTATTTCCCATGATTTATTGTGTGTTTGCATTGATTGCAAGTGTTATAATGTATTTCACGTGATACTGTGTGTGTTCAGTGATTGTATGTACTGTAGAAAATTTCACATTTTTATTTGTGTGTGTGTGTGTGTGTGTGTGTGCGCTGATATGAGCTCCACATGAATTATGAGAATGCTGGTAGCTGAATGTTGATATGCTTGTGCCTGAGATACGCTAACCTTCGACCCTGATGAATTCATGGTGACCTCTGTGTGACTGAGCCCATCCTGTGTAAGCGTACCCCCCCATTCTTCAGGCCGTCTGACTGCCACTCTATCTCCCCCTGGGGGGGGGCGGGGGGTCCTACTGTTAGTATTTGTGTTAAAATGCAGCTGCTTTCTCCAGGCTGCGTAGCGATGGTAAGTGATTAGCATGACCTCCACGTGCGTAACGGGAGGTATCACTGCAGCTGTGCTGCTGGATGGCAGCTTGCGGGACCAGTGGAGTGACACGCGCAGTCTGAGGGCCTGTCCTGGGGCTGACGCTCCGAGCCCGGCCAACACACATGGATTCGGGGACGCTTGCTTCTCATGAGCAGCCACTAAGGTGCAGGGCCCCGCTGGCTGCTGGATCACTGTGTGCTGCAGGATTGATCGCAGTGAGGCTGAGCCTGGCCGTGCGTGTGCAGTGCTCTCTCGGTGAGGAGGCATCAGGCCGTCCCGCAGGCGCTGTGTCTTTAAGAGGATCCCGCACAGAAACGCTGCCCTGCCTCTATACAACTGTAAGCTTGTGATGCCATATGACGGCCTCCAGGATTCAGTCCTATCTGTGGGCACAGAGACCCTGGGGCCCGGGACCCAGCTGACCGGGGGGTGCTGAGGAGAACCTGTGTGATGTTAGTGTGCTTACTTTGTGAGGCTAATGCTTACGGTTCTCATGGTTCACAAATTATTATGTTTCAATTACAATAAATAATAAATGTTATTGTAATTATTATTATTAATAATAATAATAATAATAATGATGATGAAGAAGACTAATCATCATGCATCACCACCATCATCATCATCATCCAGTGGATGTGATTGCTTTGGCAAGAGCACAGCTGTGTGTGTCATGACGCTCTCTCTCCATATCTGCGTGTGTATGACAGGAGCATGACATCGAGACGCCCTTCGGCATGCTGCACGTGGTCATCCGCGGGGCAGCCAAGGGCAACCGGCCTGCCATCCTGACCTACCACGACGTGGGCCTCAACCGTAAGTCAGCCGCTGCTCCCTGCTCAGCCCCAAGGCCCTTGGCTATGAACTGCTTTGCTTTGCTTTGCTTGATGACACATGATAAGGTTTGGTCCCAGCACATCATCTTTAAATCCTGTGTGTGTGTGTGTCTGTGTGTTTGTATGTGTGTGTGTGTGTGTGTGTGTGTGTGTGTGTATGTGTAGGAATGGATGTGTAGGCATGACTAAGGTTAGGGCTGGGTAGGGATTAAGGTTGTCATTGTTGGGATTATGGTTTTGACCATAGAAACGAGTAGAGAGTCCCCACAAAGATATAATTACAAATGAGTGTGTGTGTGTGTGTGTGTGTGTGTGCATGTGTTAGCTGTGTCAGTCTGTGTGTACCTCTTGCTTCTCCACACTGCGTACAGTGCCTGTGGCTCTGGGCCCCCTCTCAGCTGTCCCTCCAGCTGCGCCTTTGGGACTCGGGGATACAGGAGTGGCACACTGCAACACTGCAGTGGGCAGCTTGCTCTCTTTCAGGGTGCCAGCTAAAAATAGCCCCGCTTTTGTTATCAAGCCGCTCCCAGCCCCAGCCTGGTGCTGATGGATACCAGTTTGTTAACTGTCACACCTTCGCCCTCGAATTCTCACAGCCTCCCCCCACCCCCCCCCTGTTTACCAGGGCTGCGTCCCACAGAGCCCTGCTTGTAGCTGTTTACCACCCCCACTCAGGAGGAATTGTGGGTCACCAGCGCATCGCAGAACGCTGAAAGTAGGGCATAGCAGAGGGAGTGGGGAGGGTTTGCTCTTGGGCCCGAATCACATGCCCACTGTGCCCATCCGGTTAAAGTGCCATCACACCCCGGGGATTAAGGTCATTGATGTCGAAATTGGATTTTTTCTTTGTCTTTCACAGAGGCGCGTGTCTGTGCTGGGGACAGAATGCTCTCTGTCAGTGATTCTTTTCAGCAGTGAGCTAATTCCTGATGAGTGAGGTTGAAATACGGTGTATATAATGTTTGGATGTTGAGATAGGCCCTCTCTCCTTCACCTCCATCTCTCTGCTTCTCATACCGCCCTCAATCTTGCCATTTTAATCACTGCTTCTGCCCCCCACTTCCTTACCTAATTTCCTAATACCCATTTTTCACCTGCATCAGTTCCTCGTGCCTCAGCCGCAGAGGAGGGGGGGGGGGGCAGTGGAGACATTAAATATGGGTCAGGAAAACATCCGCATGGTGCAGCACAGTGGGGGGAGGAGCCTGGATATACTGCAGTCGATTTGTTGTGGTCTGTGCCTCACCCCCGGCAGCAGACGTGCGAATCAGCACGTGTGCATGCTGACTCAATGGGGAAGGAGAGCGAGGAGGAGGAGTGCAGACTGCTCCGGGCAGAGAGAGCGAGGAGGAGTGCAGACTGCTCCGGGCAGAGAGAGAGAGGAGGAGTGCAGACTGCTCCGGGCAGAGAGAGCGAGGAGGAGTGCAGACTGCTCCGGGCAGAGAGAGCGAGGAGGAGTGCAGACTGCTCCGGGCAGAGAGAGAGAGGAGGAGTGCAGACTGCTCCGGGCAGAGAGAGCTTGGGCTGCCACCAGACTTTTACCTGTGAAGTTCATCACATCCTCTCAAAATGTATTATTGTGCATATTAGTGCCTTGAGGAAAACATCTGGCAGCATATATACACCTAAATGTGGCATCTTGGCATTCTTGAAGGTAGTGGGGAATATAATAATATGCACTTATAAGACCTCACTCTTACCTACAGTAAATGTTAGCGTACGTTTTTGACGCTATTGAAATTTGCATTCTTCCCGCAAACAGGGATATTACACTTTATAATGAGATTGATATCAGTGTTAGCATGCTTGAACATCAGCTTAAGCTGTGGCTGTGTTTAGTACTTCATGTGTAAACTCTGAGATGCCAGAGCTCATAAAGACCATGATGATGTCAAGATTCAAGATTCAAGATTCATTATTTGTCACATGCATAGTTATACAGGTACAACATGCAGTGGTATGTATCCTGAACCGCTCATACTTTGTGCAAATAAAGAAAACTAGAAAATAAATTGTAAAATATACTGTAAATAAATTATAGAGAGTGCAAAACAGAAAAAAGAAAACCTTTGAATTTACAGTATATACAATTTTACAGGATGAAATGAAATACTGTGCAAAAAAATGCTTATGGTTAGTTTAAAGTGCAGTGTGCAGTGTCAACACAGCAGTGTAAGGTGAACTGGTAACCATAACACTGTGACTGGGAGAGTGGCCTGTCTCGATTGAGGAGACGAATCGCCTGAGGATAGAAACTCCTCCCGAGTCTCTCCATCTTGGCCATAATGACACGGAACCTTCTGCCTGAATGCAGGACGAGTCCTTGATAATCCTAGCTGCCCTGGTCTTACAGTACATCTCCTGATGTAAATGTCCAGCATGGAGGGGAGAGCTAACCTGCAGCAGCGTTCAGCTGCCCGGATCACTTTCTGGAGGGCTTTCCGGTCCTGCACTCTGTGTGAGGACGCTCTCAACAGCGCCAGAGTAGAAAGCCTTAAGGACAGCAGGGGAAACCCCAAACTACCTCAATTGTCGTCAGCAAACTTAACGATGGTGTTGGAGTCATGCGTGGCCACACAGTCAGAAGTGTAGAGGGAGTACAACAGTGAAGAAGGAACACACCCCTGTGGAGCACCCGTGTTGATTGTGATGCTGCTGGAGAAGCACCTGCCCACCCTCACTGTCTGAGATCTGTTCGTGAGGAAGTCCAACACCCAGGCACACAAGCGTTTGTTGAGTCCTAGATCCTTCAGCTTTGTGAACAGTCTATGAGGCACCATTGTGTTGAATGCTGAGCTGTAGTCAATGAACAGCAATCTCACATAGTTACCCTGCTTCTTATGCACGTGGCTGAGAGTGGTGTGCAGGACGTGGGAGATGGCATCCTCTGTGGATCTGTTAGGGCGGTAGGTGAACTGGAGCGGATCTATGTAGCTGGGGATGGAGGAGGAGATGATGTTTATCAACAGGCCCTCGAACGCCTTCATAACCACTGATGTCAGTGCAACAGGCCGGTAGTCGTTCAGGCATGAGGGTTTGTTGGTTTTGGGCACTGGGACGATAGTGGATCTTTTGAAGCACATCGGGACCACGGACTTCTCCAGGGACTCATTGAACATGGAGGTGAACACACCTGACAATTGGTCAGCACAGCAGCGCAGCAGGCGCCCGGAGATGCCGTCTGGACCCGCCGCTTTCCTGGTGTTCACCCTCCTCAGCGCCGCGCGAACGTCGTGCTCTGCGATGCTGATGACATCACCATCCTCAGTCACCCTGCAGCTAGCGTTAGCGGCCTGGCTAACCTCGAACCGGGCGTAGAATGCGTTCAGCTCGTTGGCGAATGCAGAGTCGCCGACGATCATCGCGGTGTCTTTGGCTTTGTAGTCCGTGATCGTGCGCAGTCCGTGCCACATACGACGTTTGTCACCCTGATGGAAGTGCGATTCTGTTCGCTGTCGGAACCGGCCCTTAGCTTCCCTCACCACTCGCCTGACGCCATAGGAAGCCGCTTTATATGCGCTCATATCACCGCTAATAAGAGCAGCGTTATAAGCAGTGGTCCGGGCGTTCACAGCAGCGCGGATTGATCGGTCCACCCAAAGCTTCTGGTACGGAAACGATTTGAATCTCACCGGTGGGACAACTTCATTCACAAGCATGCTAATACACCCAAATACACTTTAGCAGTGATAATGTGCTATTAATGACTTAAACATGTAACAATGCAATGGTTTTGATCAACACTTGTTACTTACATTAGACCTCTCACCTTTGTTGCATTTTTCTTGCTCCCTTTTTTGTGTTCCTTCTCATTAGCATTAGCATCCACAAATGCTGCTCCTCTCCTCACTCTCTGCTTGTTCTCATTAGCATTAGCATCCACAAATGCTGCTCCTCTCTTCACTCTCTGCTTGTTCTCATTAGCATTAGCATCCACAAATGCTGCTCCTAACCTCGCTGTCTCTGCTTGCTCCCTCGTGTTTTTGGTGTATTTGTACTCTGCTTGAATTCCAGTGGTTTTGTTTTTTTGCCAAAAAAAAAAATCAAAATTTTACTTTTGAATATTTTCTTTTAATTATTTTGCTGTAACTACCTGATGCGTAACCTTATCTACTTTAGTGGCCAGAAAGTGGATTTTTCAGCGCATTCAATGCAGTTTTTCAAATCAAAAGTCAGATAAGCGCAACATATAAATTTAGGCAGATTTAAGTTTAGAAATCATACAACACAAACAATTATACATTTCTTTGCATCTATTCCAAAGTTTCACTCAAATTAATTTTACGTTTAATTACATTGGGTGAAGCATTTGAGGAGCCAGAGCACAGACTTCTCTTAGCCTGAGGTCCTAGAGATGAGCTCAGCTTGCTTACTGTCTGGCTTTGAGGAACTCCAGACTGTTTCCCATCTTAGTCTCCCAGATCCCCCATTGGTGGAATCCCCATGTCTTGTTTTGGGATTGATTACAATTCCTGTGTCTCATGGAGTTCCCTCAGACTGGTCCTATGACACTAGCGCGCTGTCTCCCTCCACAGACAAGCTGTGTTTCAACACCTTCCTCCAAAATGAGGACATGCAGGAGATCACCAAGCACTTTGTGGTGTGCCACGTCGATGCTCCCGGCCAGCAGATCGGCGCATCCCAGTTACCCCAGGGGTCAGTTCTTGCTCAGAATGAACTTTCTTTCCATTCCTGAATTGTCTGTTTGCTCTGGGATTGATTAGGATATCTGTGGATCTCATTTAAAGGTACCAATACCCCACTATGGACCAGCTGGCAAGCATGCTGACCAGTGTGGTGCAACACTTTGGGTAAGTTCATGATGGCAGCCCTTTGTGGAGTCACATGCTTAATTTGCTCACTTAGACACACTGCATGCAGGTATGCTTAATTATTATGGCAGTGTTTTACAACCTGGTCTTCGGGGGCCCACAGCCTGTCCGTGTTTTTGTTCCCTCTACCGGGAACTATGAGGGAGCAAAAATATGGACTGTGGGGTAGGGAGATGGGAGGGAGCAAAAATATGGACTGTGGGGTAGGGAGATGGGAGGGAGCAAAAATATGGACTGT